ATCCAGTAGGGGGGACCATCAGCGCAGAAATTAACGGACTGGAGATTTCAGCGCCGTTGATTCTCCTTGCCTGTCTGGATAGGACTAAATAAATGACAGCCACCAACTGTGCCGCTACGGACCGGACGGGACCTAAGAGAAAGCCAGCTAAGGTTCCCGAGGCCCTGAGTGCCCCTCAAAATGTCAAACAAAAAAGGAAGCTAAGCCATTTAAAGAAATAGGCGATGGGGTTTAATTCGATTTGTAATATCTCGGAGGCTTAAAGTCATGGTGGTCGTTGCTGGAAAAGAATGGCCTGAGGGCATTTCATCATGGGAAATATAACTTTAGTCTAACTCGAGCTCGGAGGTTGCATTATGTCCCGTCGGAAAAATAGCAGGAAAACGAAAATTGAAATAAAATCTTCTGAAGGTATTTAGCTGATCTTCATTCACATCCTGGTTATAACCTTGCCAGCAGTTTCTGTTGGGCACTAGTTGCCCAGGCGGCCCTCCACCGCACGTGATTACCCCTATATATAGTTAGCTAGCGATCGCACAATGAGAAGATCAACCATCCCACAGGTTATGGCCCGGATTGCAGATTTTTAAGAAAAACAGACGTTTTGATTAGAATACGCTGCGACTGATGTTATATTGGATGAGTTAAACATTATTCCCCTGAAAAGAGAGCTCTTTGCCTATAAAAGTGGTGTAATTGACGGAATTGCTGTCGAGACTGCTGCAGAGATTTCATTACTATCTTGAAGGGATCAAAAACTTATTTATTTATTTTCATTCAGAACCTCCCTAAGTCAGATTGATTATGAGTGGTTCTCGATTACCTGCGACCCCAATATCAGGACGTAAGAAGACACTACGTTCGCAATCAAGGGTCCCCCAATCCTTCCCCCCTATTACTGAGCAAGAATCCGGCTCAGAAGCGGAGGGTGATCAAACTGAATACGCGATGGCAGAGGAAGATATGACAACCTCTGGCTCCGCACGCGATACTGGCAAGATGCCAGAACGCGAGGAATCCGAGGATGGCACGCCCAGTCCTATGCCGATACCTACGCCGAATCCTAACGGCATGGTGACCATGGCAGCAGCAGATCTCATTGCACTCTGCGAGCGACTGATATCAGCACGCGCGCCGCCACCTCCTCCACCTCCTCCGAACCCTATACCAGAAGAAGATCCGAACATGCTGGCTCGCGAATACCAGAAGGAAGCGCAGGCCTCGTTGAACACAAAGTCCGTCACCACGTTCGATGGCACCAACTACCAGACGTGGAAGATGGCGTTCTTGTCGGATGCAGAAGTGATCGGTGGTGCAAATATTCTTAATAAGAACCAACAGGAACCACCTGAAGGTTTATCATCGCTCGATCAGCGATATTGGGTGATACGTTCAAAACTTCTCTTCCGTCGCATGTTGCAATCCCTAGTAGGTTCTGTCCGTTTGACCATGGGATCCATTCAACCCGACAACGCGGCGGCCCTATGGAACAAGGTAAGCGCAGTATACGCGATATCCCTAGGGGAAGAAAGGATTAACATCCTTAAAGAATTTACCCACTTGCATGTCAAGGACGGTAGATTACCTGGCGTCACTCTGATGGTTGGTCAAGCTATATCAATACCTGTCTGCTCAACATGCGAGCAACCTATGTAGCTGTATAAGAGTCCGTGGTGAGAACTACCTCCATGA